GTTTTTGCTAAATGTTTGTTTTGTTAATACATTTCTTTTTGTCTTTTCCAGTGGTCTGACAAGCCCTGTGTTCCCCATTTGCTCCAGAGGGACAGTTACTATGTTTACACCCAGCAAGAGCTTAAAGAGAAGCTGTATCAAGAAATCATAGTATATTTTGACAAAGGCAAAGTGAGTTCTTTGTCTTTGAATTGGGCAGAGAGGAGAATAACTAAAATAATTTTTTTCTTTTTAATCATCATCCCCTGTGTGTCTTTGAGGAGCCCTGGTGGTGAGATGGGTTCCCTGTCGGGCTGCTGACCACAAGGTTGGCAGTTCAAACCCACCAACTGCTCCACAGGAAAAAGAATGAGACTGTTTACTCCTATAAAGATGGACAGTCTCAGAAACCCTAAGGAGCAGTTCCATTCTGTCGTAGAGGGTGCCCTTGAGTTGGGGGAGATTTGATGGCTATGCTTGGGGGAGCTGAGGCCTGTGCATTCTAACCTTTTGATCAGAGAGAAAATGAATTAAGCATTGAGCGACAATAATGGTCGGTTAGCGTAGGGACACTTGGCCTAAAGGAGAATAGGATGGACAGCTCAGAGACCTACTCTCAAGCACCGTCATTTTACCTTTTAAATATTGCTGGAGTCCAAGAGCTGGTGTGGGTATCCTTTCCATGCACCCCCAAGAAATTGTTGTTAGCACCTAGTATTCCCCCAAGTCAGTGCCCAACGGACATGCTTAAGTGTTCTTTGCAGCACGTCAAATACACATATGAAGTAAGCCAGAAATAAATACACATATGAAGCAAACCATGTCAAATGCACATATGAAGTAAGCCATGTCAAATACACATATGGAGTATGCCAGGACCAAATATACATATGAAGTACGCCAGGACACAGGTGGGCATCTGCTCAGTTGGGGAAAACCTTTCCAGCATTTGGTGAGGGAGGAGGGGTTAGGGAAGGGCTGCTTCACTTGACTCCCATAATGCTGCTGGCTTCCAAGGTATCAGTCAAGGGCCAGGCATTTTAGAAGAAGGTCAGTTGTCAATAGGGATCTCAAGGACTGTCCGTTTTAAACTGGTTGATCATTGCGTGTGGCTTGCACATACGTCCCCCGGTCAGTAGCCAGTGACAAGGGAATGTGGTGCTTGAACAATAAGGAAATAGGAAAGTATCAGATTCTTCATTTAAAGCAGTAATAATAATTTTAATAATGATGCAGGTTAGCATGCTTGACATGCTAACCCAACGGTTTGAAGTTCAAGTCACCCCAAAGTGTCTGGTGGTCTCCTGAAAAATTAGCTGTTGAAAACCGTGTGGAGCACAATTCTACTTTGCCACACACGGGATGCCATGAGTCAGAGCCGGGTTGATGCTGCAATTGCATTCAAAGACATTCTGTGAAATAACAAAATGAGTAGAGGGCTCAGTCTGAGATGGGGAGTCTCAGACACCAGTAGGTCTATTAAAGGCTATAACTTATGTGGTCATAAATGCTGTCAGGCATTTCCTAAAGATTCGTTCACTAAGAGAGCTTAGTGAACCTAAGAGAGTTTAGATAGTATAAGGAACCATACCTTACATGAAAAATAAAACAGTAGGGTTAACCTCTCGTCTGTCACCCCAAACATCCCAGCCCAGTCCAGATCAAGTCCAATATTAGCCCATATGTCCAGTACCAGTCTGTAAATTCCTCTAAAGACTCACGCAACACGTGGGGTGACGCCGAGTGCAGGAAGATCACAGGCCAGTGGGTGGAAAGTCTTGTGTATCCAGTGGTAGGGGAAGCATCTTAGCGCTGGTGTGGGTCTCTACGTGGCTCCTTCACCTCCAAGGCTCTGGCTGCCATCAGCATAGCTCCATGTGCCTTGTCAACAGGAATGTCTCACAGGGAGTGAGTTTGTATCCCACGTCCAGCAAGCTATTTATCGCCTTAGTGCCTCCAAATGAGGTCATCGAGCTGTGACCTGATTGACAGGCTAAACTCCACCCCTTCACTCTTAATAGTCTCAAGTTGACAACAGATGATGTAACTACCACAATCAGCATTCCCCTTCAGCTTCTTTCCCCTCCAACAAGATTGTGTCACTCTCTGTGGACCTAGACTTTGAAACTGTTCTCCACATTCATGATCTTTAGTTCTTTGCCTTGAAGCGCAATATTGGGTTAGATTCAGGATACCTGGTATTCTTGATGTTCTCGAAGACAGAATTACAGGAAGATGCTCTATGACGAAGCAGCCCCACTGTGGTAGCTTTATATTGTCAGAATAACAATTCTTTTTAAAAAAAGGTTTAGTTGATCCAATTGCTGTACCAAGCCTGGAACATTCACCAACACCCCCACCCCACCCCCCACCCCAAATTACTTCAAATTCCCAGTGATTCTCCCAAATGGATTTTGCAGCGGGGTCAACGGAGGCTTTGTTCTCCACTTTAACCCTACTTTTCTTTTTCTGAAGATGTGGGAGAAAGCAATCAAACTGAGCAAAGAGTTGGCTGAGACTTACGAGAGTAAAGTATTTGACTACGAGGGCCTTGGCAATCTCTTGGTGAGTCTGGGTCAGTGTGGAGGGGTGTGGAGCGGGGATGTTAAGCGTCTTTAAAAAGTCTGCCATCCAGTCACCCCGAGAGAGTAGAACGACTCCATGGGGTTGTGGGATGCTACATTTTTCCAGAAGCAGACAGCTCCTTTCAGCTTCTAATGAGGTCATGAGAATGAGTGCTTATGGAGATAATTCCTCTAAAGTTATAGCACAAAGCGTATTCTTTATCATGGAAAAGTGGACTTTGCTTGAAATAAAATGAAAACGGGGCAGGGAAAGGATGTATTCTTAAGCTTTGTTCATTATTCTTCCACATTATCCAGGGTAGAAGGCTCAGAGCTCTGGTATATTTTCCCCCAAAGGGGTGATGGAAGATTGACCCTCAGAATCATGGTGACTTAGTCGAAGCTTTCCCCAGCGTCCCTCAGGAGCCTTCTCTGCAGCCTTTTCTTCCTTCCCGACCGTTTGTTCCCCTGTGGCCCTCCCATTTGCTGGCCCCATCTCCTCTTTGCCCTCGTAGTCACTCTGCCTTCCATTAGTCCTGTCTGTATTTCCCATGTTCTCACATCTTCTGTTCATAGAAGGTCACATGCTCTGTGGTTTGCTGTGGTCTTCCTGCCCTGCTAGTGAATGAATAGCCTTGAGCCTTGGTTTATATTTCTCTAGGAATGCCAGTGGGTACATTGTGATCAGTTCTGAAATGTTTCTGCTAAATTCAGGTTTTTCTGGATTTGTTGTTTGGTTGGTTGGTTTTAGCCTTCCTCTGTCTCCCAGTTGCCACGGGGCTGTTTTCTAGTTCCCTAAACTTGAGTGTTGCATATAGGTGTAGGCTCAAGTAAAACGAAACTCAAAGGGGCTTCTATATGCCCAATGGTAAGCAAGAAACATTTGGGTCATTTTTTGTAGAGAAGTCATACAAGGCCAGGGCCCTCATTGTCACGTAATAAACATGTTATTTAAGGAGATTTTGTCAAGATGGCCATAAAAAATTTGACCAGCTCACGCCATCACAGAAACCAATCACTTATTAATTTCATAAACTACATGGATCTGAAATGTTCGTGATGCAGAATTATCCCTTACAAGAAAGTATGCCGACAGCGAGCGCCCTCCCCCTTATGGGTTAGTAGCATGGGCACGCATGCTCACCATCATGCGGGGCCTTCTCCCTCCACCAGGTAAAGAATTAGAGGCAGGAGGGGTAGCAGACACTGAGAAACCAACATCACCGTTTTCTGAGCACTTAGAGCTGAACCAACCAGTGAGTTCTCCAAACCACCTGTGTGCACTGGAAGCTTCGTTCCTTCTCCTATGTGGTTCTGGTTAAGGGCATCCTAAGTAAGTCCTTCGTAAACCTTCTAGGGGTCCTGAACGTCTTTGAAGAAACTGCTGAAAGTTTCCTCACACGTGCCATCAGGGTGCGCAGTGGCAGGGACTCCCAGGCCACTCCCACTCTGATTTATCAACCCCAGATCCGGAGCCTCTTAGCTAAGCAGGCCTCCAAACCCGTTTCGTCGTGGCTCCCGCAGCATCATTGGAACAGACCCGAATTTGTAAAATGTGGATGTACTAGAATGGAAACTAGCAGGCAAAACATGGCAGATCTGAGTTCTCAGATGGGAGACTCAGAAGAGGCATTGTGGGTTCTTTCAGGAGCCTGATACAGGAGATGGGGTTCTTGCCAGGACTGTGGCGAGCAGCACCCCTTCAAAGTGATGTCGTTGGCCCCCTTCTTTGAGCCAGCCACCATTCTCTGACTGCTGGTCAAGCTTTTGGGTTGCTATCCTCACGCATGCGATATAGCGTGCGTGCTGCTAGGAGCACATCAAGCTGTAATTTCCCCTAGTGCAGTTACCGTTTGGAGTTACCCGGTTGTTCAGATTCAGGTCCATTCTGGTTCCACTGAATCCAGTCTAACTGAACTGGGAAGAACTGGTTTAAAGCCCTGGGCCAGGAACGGATGGCACTTCTTCTGCCTCCAACTTTTCCAGACACCTTTCTTTCCCGTCCCGCTGTTTTCCAAATACCTGTCATTTCTCTGTTCTACTGGAAGCAGCGAAGAGTCTGACCTCTTTCCCCCACCCCCACCAACAGTGTCCTTGTCGCCTTCCAACGGAATGTCTCCTTTGGTTTTCAGAAAAAAAGAGCCTCGTTTTATGAGAACATCATTAAGGCCATGCGGCCCCAGCCGGAATACTTTGCTGTTGGGTACTACGGACAGGGCTTTCCGTCTTTCCTACGGGTAAGAGATCTGAGGGTGGTCTCCAAAGCCACTCAGCCGTGCAGGCTGAAAGAAAGGAGAAGTGTGTTCCCCTCTTTTCCAGATGGGCAGCTGTGTGTGAGCTGCGCCCTGTGCTATCGCTGTGGGAGGTCTGGGAGGGAAACCACTTCCTGTGTGGCTGGCCTCTCCCCGTCTCCCCACCCCGCATCCCCAGACACCGTGGTATCCTGGCAAGCCCTCAGTAAAATGACTCTTCCGGGTGGCATGAAAAGGGAAAAACAGAAGCCTCCTGTCCACTCGCTTGCTGCCACAGGTCCAGCTGAGGGCAAATGTGGATGGATGGACTTGGGCCTTGACTTCCAGCCAGAGCTAGTGTGAGAGCAAATCTCTCAAGGACAAGACTGGCAAAGTTTCACAGAATTAAACATAGTTCATTTTATCGTAACAGGGGAAAGGAGGAAGGTTTTTGTTCCCTAAAGAAAAATTTCTGTAATGTGATATTCGACAAAAAAACCAACACCACGAAGTTCACCCAGCACCAACCAGGTCATTATGTTACAATGAAGCGCACCGAGCACAGGCCCAGAGGCCCTGGCAACAGGCTGTAGAGGACATTTGAGGACCAGATCACAATGCCCAGTGTCGATTACGGGCCACAAGAAAACAAAACGCGTCCTGCCCACTGGCTCCCGCACGTGCCTGTGACAGCAAGGAGGGCCGGGCCTGCTGCAGATGTGCAGAAGGTCTCAGTGTGCAGAGACCGCGGGCAACATTTCCTCTAAGAGCTGCAGAGCCATTGTGGAAAGATCGCCAATCCCAGTGCCAGGCCCTGTGGGGAAGACAGTGAGTTGTCCGCCCCCTGCAGGTTGCATTTGTGCTAAGTCGAACCAGAAGAACTCTTGCCATCTGGCATTTTGCTCCCCTTGACAAAGCGAAGCAGAAAACCAGAGATTGGACTCAGTTCCTGCTCGTGGATTTTGAGCCCTGATGGGGGAAATATTGATCGGATAATCACACAAACAAACAGAAACTGACCAAGAAAGGGAGTCCAGGCTATTTTGAGTCTGCAATCAGGAAATATTTTGCTCAAGTGAAAGAAAAAGCTATGGTTCCCACTAAAGCCTACATGTGAATGTTTACAGCAGGCTTGCTCATCGTGTTGGGTTCAGCCTAAATGTCCCTCAACTGGTAGAAATTAAAGAAAAAAACACAAAACACCAGTTACCGTATATACTCTAGTACAAGCCGACCAGAATATCAGCGGAGGCACCTACTTTTACCACAAAAACTGCATTAAAAATGTACTAAAAAACTCAGCTTATACACAAGTATGTATGGTACTTAGCACTGTGTCTCTTCAGACTCATGGCCACCCAGATGTGTCAGTAGAACTGTGCTCCTTTCTTTCAACAGCTGGTTTTCCACAAGTAGCTTTTCGGGCCTTTTTTCTGGAGCTCCTCTGGGTAGACTTTTTTCTGATCTTTCGGTTAGCAGCCAGCTATATTAACTAGTAGCCCCACCCAGAGACTCCGCACGTGTAAATAAGCGGGTGCAGACTCCTAAGTAATCATGAGCGATGAGCTCTTGATCTATGCAGCCGCATGGACGAATCTCAGATGCATTCTGCTAAAGGAAATAAAGTAGACTTCAAAGACTACAGACTCCGCGCTTTGCTTATGTGACCTTCTTGCCAAGGCTACGCTATAAAGACAGCTTTATGCAGACCAGCGGTCATCCGGAAGTCGGAATGGGCTACCAAGGATTATTGGGGAATTTGAGGCAGTGATGGCAGTGCTCTATACGGTCAAGGATAATGTGTTAGTCTGGGGTGATGAGAGAAACTAATCCAGAGAGGCACTCATGTGTATAAGAAAGAGCTTTAGATACAAGAGCACTGAATATTGAAAAAATGGCCCAGTCCAGGTCAAGTCCATAAGTCTGATATTAGCCCCTATGTCCAATACCAATCTATAAATTCATCTTCAGACTCACACAACACATGAAATGATGCCAAATGCAGGAAGATCACAGGCCAGTGGGCGGGAAGTCTTGAGGATCCAGTGGCAGTGGAAGCATCTCAGCACTGACAGGGGTCTCCGTGTGGTTCCTTCAGCTCCAGGGTCCTAGCATAGCTCCATGTATCTTGTCAACAAGCTTGTCTCGCAGGGAGTGAGCACGTGTCCTACCTCCAACGAGCTATTTATCTCCTTAGCGCCTCCAGATGTAGTCGTCGAGCTGCTACCTGATTGACAGGCTAAACGCCACCCCTTCACTCAGTCTCACATTGACAACAGACTATGTAACTATCACAGATACCTTCCTCAAAACCCCCCCAATAATGAAGAGACCTCAAAAAGCGCGTGGAGAAATTCTGATATTTTTTAGTTCCATTTTTCATTGAACTTTCACAAACTCAAAGAACCAAACTCACTGCCATCAAGTTGATTCCAACTTATAGCGACCCTGTAGGACAGAGGAGAGCTGCCCTGTGAGCTTCCAAGACGAACTGTGGGAGTAGAAAGCCTCCCTCTATCTCCCCCACAGCGGCTGGTGATTTCAAACTGCTGACCTCATTGTTACCAGCTCAATGGGTAACCACTACGCCACCAGGGCTCCTCTGAACTCTTACAAGCCCCTTGTTACGCACTAAATGGAGTAAACATGACCATAGGTAACATACTTTCGTTTCATTTGGGGTCATGAGAGACCTCCAGAAACTCTGTATTTCAGCTGCAATCTGCATAGTGAATTGAGAGTTGGGGTACAGAGGATAGAAAAGAGTAGTCCAAGCAGAAGAAACATCAGGCAAGTGCACAGTACGTGTGTGTTAACATGGAAGCAGGTCAGCCCAGCCGGGGCAGAGTTTGGCTGTCTTGTCTGTGTCGGGAGAGCATGTTGGGTGTGGACAACAGGTGGGAGAGTGCATAGAGGAAGACCACTAAGAGACTATTGCAGGTATGGGGGTGAGAGATGATAGTTGGATGTGGGAGATGGTAGTGGTGGCTTTAGAGAGACGTGAAAAGGTTAGGGTGATGAAACCAGTGGCATCTGATGATTGAATGGATAATTGGAAGAGGAAGAGGGAGCTGTCACAAATGACTCTTGGGTCCCTGGCCTGTATAATTGGAGGCCAGGGGCTACATTCTCTCAGACAGCAGTGCTGGGAAGGAACAGAGTCCTGGAGAAGAGATTGAATCAAGCACTGAGTACATATTTATGGAGCTCCAGTTATATGTGTGTTATACCGGAGGTAGAATGCAAAACCAGTCAGCCTCCTTGAAGTACAGAACGTCTCTACTAAGATGGAAGACCAGATGTAAAGTAGATGAGGTTTCTAAAGAGTAAAATATTAATAACAGCAGAGGATGTCAAAGAGTGCAATGTTTAATGTAGGCACTCCAGTAAGCTTCGTGGGAAAAAGTGAATCAGAAGCAAGGGTGGGAAATGAAATTGCAATTTTCAAAAGAACAAACAGGAACAATTTCAACCAGAAAGTGACAGTTGAGCAAAACCCTAAAAACAATAGTGAGGGAACAAGCCCATCACGTTATCTAGAGGGTGGGGGGAGTGAAAAGCCTGATTTGTGGCAGATGGGAGACGGGTTTGGCCAATGCATCTGATCACATAGTCATCTCAGTGTGCCAGTTTTTGGCAACCAAAAAAAAGCATTCCTTTCTTGCCCCATGCACCTTACTCACCTGACCTCACTAAAATCTGGTCACCTTATTATAGATTGACAGCCTCGGAAATCTTGGGGGCACTTCCATCCATCCGAGCTCATTCACAATGACCCTGCATCTCTGATTCTGTTCACGGTACTGTTTCCACCATACAGTCAGCATCTTATGATCCTCTCATCCCTTGCCAACCAGTTTCACTTCATGCCAGAATTTCAAAACGTCCAAGTCAGTCACGTAGATCTTTCTCAGCCAGAAAAAGGTGTGATCCATTCCTCAAGCGCTGGCCATTTTCACTGCCTTCAAGGTTTTTCCTAGAGGTGTAGTACCTTCTCAGGGCACAGACTGTCTAAAATAATCCTGGGTACTGACCTGTGAACTTGGCTTTTAATGTCTTCCCAGCAGAAAGCAAGTGTCACCAGAGCAGGGTTTCCACTCGATCTGTAGAGTTCAACGTAGCTGCTCTTTGTTTTAAAACATAATAATCATGCTTTTATCGTGATGACCTACATGTAAGAGAACATTTGCCATTGAAACCTTTTCTGAGTGTGTGAATCCGCACCGTTCACTACATTCACCCTGTGCAGCCAACATCCCCACTATCCGTTTCCAAATCATTTTCATCGCCCTAATCAGAAGCCCAGCACTCCTGCTTACAAGGACTCAGCATGTGAATGAACAAGTCGTTTTTGTTGGTTGGTTTGCTTTGATAAGTGGTTTTTAAAAACACTAAGTAAGACCACAATTTTCACTTGAAAAATAAATTTCGTGGGGGCTGCCCAGGGGAGCTATTCATCTGAGATGGTGATCAGATGAGCAAGAATCTTCCAAAAGGCTAAATGTGCACTCTCCCGAGCCTCCGCTGTGTGACAGAGGACTCCCTTGTCAGATTTCTTTGACACCATTTTAAAAAGCCTCACTGCCATCAAATCAATTCTGACTCTGGGCAGACCTCTCTAGTTTTTGAAGCCGTACATTTTCACCGGAGCCGATAGCCTCCTCTTTCTCCTGCAGAGTGCCTGGTGAGTTTGAACCTTCAACCTGCAGTTAGCCATCCAATGCTTACCTGGGAAAAAAATACAACACTACTACTAAAGGGGAGAAAAACTACGTTATGGGATTGAAGGGATTGTATTTAATGTAGATAATTGAAACTGTTGCCTTCCAGAGCGATTTTTCAGGTCGACCCAGTAGCTGCGATAAACTCAGCTGTGCCTCTGTCACGTCCCTGGCTAGAAACCACGTGCATCCCCTTCATAGTGCCTGTTCTCTAGGGCAGTGCCTTTCCAAGAGGAGATAGGCGCTTGTTCCCCAATGTAAATGCCCTGCCTTTTCGCATCAAGACAGACTCAGTTGGAAAAAAATCATAGCCTGAATTCAACAGCATGCCCAGTGATGCAGTTGGTTTACATCAGCGCCCAGACTTCTAATTTTCTTGCAGGTTGGTGCAGGTAGGTCAGTGGCAGACAGCTACGGTCCTCAGACCACCCTGAATGGCACCTTCCTAAGTATTTTGTTTGTCTGGGATTTAACTCCACAAATAAAACACAAGTACTGGTCAGGGTCATCCATGTTAGCTGCTGCCGGACAGATCGTATTCAGTGAGGCTCGTTGGTGAATTGAACATTGGCTGGGGATAGGGACTCCCTCGGTACCAACTTCTCCAGTTCACATGTAATTATTGTTCTTTCATACGTAGTCACCTTTTCATATGGATTACTCATTCTATCTCCAACCTGCAGAATAAAATCTTCATTTACCGGGGGAAGGAGTACGAGAGGCGAGAGGACTTCAGCCTGAGGTTACTGACCCAGTTCCCCAACGCTGAGAAGATGACCAGCACCACGCCCCCTGGAGAGGACATCAAGTCCTCCCCAAAGCAGTGTATCCTTGCCAAAGGGAAACATGGCCAGAGGCTCCAGAACCTGCTAGAACACCAGCTAAACCAGCGAAGCTAAGGATTGTAGACCATTTCCTGCAGGCAAAGAGGGCCTGTCTCCTCAAATCACTCCTGTCGATATTCTGACTCAGTTTCCCATTTTATGTTATATCTTTGAACCCTGATGCCCTTGCCTACTGCTATCAAGTTGATTCTGACTCAGAGATGCGATATAGAGTTTCTGAGATTGTAACTCTTTATAGAGGCCCAAAGCCTCATCTTTCTCCTGTGTTGCGGTTGATGGGTTTGAACTTCTCTCACCTTGCGATAAGCAGCCCAATACCTATCCCACAGCCTCAGCTGGGCTCCTTCCTGTTGTCCTTCACTTGGGGTAGCGGTTTTGAAGTACACTGAAGCTCTCTGAGTCAGAACCTGTATTAGGCAGAAAGCTGTCAGAAAACCAAAAAATGAAAATATTCTCCACAAAGTAGAGTGGGAGCAAGGTGGCCAGCCTGCATCTCATGGGAGGCAAAGAAACTCGAGCGGCCCCCAAATCAAGGCAGTCTGTTGAGTTCTGGCATTCACGGGTTTCACTGTCATGATGAGAGAAGCAAATTTTCCCCGTGAAAGGCTATTTGTTTTAATCATGGGTAGCTTGAAGAACATATCTACTTCCTGTTCTGGACTCTGAAGAGAGCACTTTTTTTGTAGTATGTCATGATTTATTGAAATACATGTCAATGGCATGTTTGCGGGGTGGGGGAGGTAACAATGAAGGACTTGGCTTTTCTATAATCTAGTTCCTTTAAGAACATGCTAGTGTATTTCATGATAAAATGCAGAACTTCCGGACGTGAATGGCAATCTAGAAGGAGCACAGCCCCTGCGCAGAGTAGGTCAGAAACGGGGTGCTGGAGCCAGGCCACTGGGGTTTAGGGTTTAGAGTCCCATTTCTGTCTCCTACCCTGCAACTCCGGGCCCTCCTCTTTGTGCCTCAGTTTTTCACCTCATGCAGTGGTGATCATTCTTCCACCTGGAGTTGTAAGCGGCAGGGGAGTGCCTAGACCATAGTACAAATGCAGTAAACATCAGCTGTTATAATAGGATGATAGTTATAGATTGATAAGTAAGTACAGAAACAGCAAATGACACACACATCGCTCACGTAAAGAGCAGTTGTGGCTTGGAGAAGAAGGATTCACCAAGATGCGTTCTCTTTCTTTGGGGTTCTGTGGTGGTGGCAGCCAGAGACCGGCCACTGGGTCCTGGCTCATGGCGACCCTTTAAAGGGACAACAGAACGAAGCGCTGCCTGGGCCTGCGCCAGCCTCGCAGTCAGCCTTGTTCCTGTGCCTGACGCAGCCTTTCGGGGTCATCGAGGTCTAGCCTTCTTTCTTTGGAAATGAGAGTTCTTCAAGACCTGGTTCTAGAGTCAGGGTCCTGGTCCTGGTCCTGGACCCAGTATTCTTTGCGTAGTCATCTGACGTTACTCACGCAGCTTCTTTTCCCTACACTTCACATTCTGTTTCTAGAAAGAAATGATATGTTTATTTTCTTTACATACAGAAAGGAACCCTTTCTTTCTGGATAGTGACGTATGCATTGGGCTGCTCACCCAAGCTCGACCGTGTGAACCCACCAGCTACTTCTCGGGAGAAAGATGAGACTTTCTAGTCCTATAAAAATTTACAGCCTTGGGAACCCAAAGGAGCAGTTCTGCCCTGTCCTATAGGGTAGTCTGTATGTGTGTATGCGTGTATGTATGTGTGCATATATACACATATATGTGTACATATACACGCATACATACATACCCCGGGGTGAACTCCCCAGACCTCAGAAAAGAAGCCTGGCAAGCTACTCCCATTTCATCAGTCCTTGGAAACCCTGTGGCCAGCAGTTCTACGCTCACACACCGAAGTTTTCAGAAGCGACCCCTGGTGACCAGGGTGGTGTTTGTCTGTCTGTGTAGTGGGTGAAGGGGTGGCTTTCCTGTGGCAAGGTGGTTTGCTGGTGTGCTAGTGAAATAGGCGTAAGAGAAGACCCTTTTCAGTGCAGCCCCAGCCAGCGTGTATGTGAAAGGGAACGCATCCGCGAAGCTTCTGACCGAGCCGGCCCCCACCCTTCCTTGACCAGCTCTTCAGACATGCAGTGCTTCACTGTCAAGCCGGTGATGAGCCTGCCACCCGGCTACAAAGACAAACCAGTTCCCGAGCAGGTCCTAAAGTAAGTCATTTCTTTTTGAAACGTCTGTCTCTCTCGCACACTTCTTCCCGGAATACACCATTCCCGAAGCCTTCCGTTCACTACAGCTTGAGGACCTATCTCATTTTGAGTGGCCCAAGAGCTCGGGCACACCAAGGGATTTTGGTTTTGTACGCAGAGGTCCTGGGTGTCTGATCCTCCGGCTCTTACTTCCCCTGGGAAGCACTGGATAGATGAGCAGTGGCTGACCCCACGGTGGCCGATGAGGTCCCCCGGGGGTAGTCCCTCCTCTCGAGGAACCAAGAAGCAAGCATTGTCCCGTCGAACTGACACCAGGCGGTACAGATGAGACCACACATGTGCCATTCTACGGCGTGAGCGATGGCTCACAGGAATGTTTAAAGTGGGAAACGCAACCAGACTGCCCCACACCTTCCGGGTGAAGACCGTGTCAGTTTTAGGACCCCCGAAGGCTGAAACTCGGCTCTGGAAGAGGCGATCAGAACTAGGCGTGCTTGTGCGGTAGAGAAAACGCAGCGTGGTTGCTTTGTCTCTTAGCTACTACAGGGCCAACGAAGTGCAGCAGTTCACGTATTCCCGGCCGTTCCGGAAAGGAGAAAAGGATCCCGACAATGAGTTTGCTGTGAGTCCACCCCTTGTGCCCTGTGAACACTATCCACCGACACACACCCACTGCACCTGGGCAGCTCCGACTCAGAGCCCCCTGTCGGACGGACGAGTCGAACTGCTCCAAGCGTGGAAATCTGTGTACGGGAGCAGACAGCTGCTCTTTCTCTGCAGCCCAGCACCTAGCCCACTGCGCCACCAGGGCTACACCTTCATCCTCTAGGGCAAAGGTTCTCAACCTGTGGGTCATGACCCCTTTGGGGGTCAAACGACCCTTTTACAGGGGTGGCCTAAGACCAATGGAAAACACATATTTCTGATGGTCTTAGGAAGCAAGACACCGCTCCTCTCTCATCTCCAGGCGGGTCTGCCCACATGCAGATACTCCCACATGCAGATACCTGGCCTGAAGACTGTTACCCGTGCTACACCACGTTTCAAGACAAAATTTCATTTTTTTGTCATTAGAAATAAATATTCCACAATATATAATGACATATTTTTTTTGATGCATCAGTCTGCTTTAATTATGTTCCGTTTGTAACCATGAAAATACATCCTGCATATCAGGTATTGACATGAGGATTCATAACAGTAGCAAAATGACAGTTACAAAGTAGCAATGAGAATAATTTTATGGGCAGGGGGGGTTGTCACCCCAACATCACTGAACTGTATGAAAGGGTCATAGCATCAGGAAGGTTGAGAACCACTGCACTAGGACAAGGTGCAGGTGGCATCTAAAACGGTCAGCTTACACCTGCCTAGGTCGGAGGATGAGTGGAGCTAGAGGCGCCGGGTGCACCTTCCATAGGCAGTCTGTTGTCTCAGCAGAAATGCCGGGCGCCTCCTGGGTCTGCTGTTACTGTGACCTGCAGCAAGTTCCACCTCCCAGAACTGGAAGTTTTCCAGTTCTAGAGGGAGACGGTTTGAGTAGGTGAACCTTTTCAGCTTTAAATAGCCCTGAATCCTTAAACTGTCTGAGAACCAGTTAAGGAGGAGGCTTTGGGGATAGAGTTTCTTTATCCAATCCAAGGAGGCTTACTCTTTTGCCTAGGACCAACCTTTCCTCTTCTCCCCCCAGACCATGTGGATCGAAAGGACCACGTATACGACTGCATATACCTTTCCTGGGATCCTCAAGTGGTTCGAAGTCAAGCAGATTTCAACAGTGAGTCACTTGAAATGGGAACACAGAAAAAAAAAACCTCTGTCTCTCCAAATATAATAACAGCCTTTGTTCAATCCCCGCCTCCAGTTCTCTCACTCTTCTGGCCAGTGTTGCTTGTCCACAGGGAAATGAAAGGCAGGCTTGTGTAATGGGATGCCTTTATAAAATTGATGTCCCAGCCCCAACCCGAAAGGTCACTCGCAGTGAATGACTCCTTTGTGACCAGAAGAGCGTTGTCTCCACAAAGATCCTGCCAGTGTCCCAAAACATTTTTGGAATGCCTCTTGAGTCTCCTGTCAATCACACTCTCCTCCCCTGGGGCCTTTCTGCTTTCATGCTCAGCTCATTACATCACCCGTCACCCTAGGGCTCCCTCTTTATCATCCCCGTCTCACCTCCTTAGTCATTATTAAGGCTGCTCTCAATGTGCCCAGCCCTCCTGCTTGTCGCCCTGTGTCTGGCCCTTCATCCATTCCCTCTCTGGTCCATGCCCTTGAAAAGGTCTCTTAATTGCCTTCCCTGTCTTGCCCTCTGAAGTGTACTCACCCCGTGTGTGTTCTATAGAGTGTGTGTTCTATAGAGGAAACCTCCCAAAACACTTAGCTGACAACAGCTCCCTATAGTTCCTATTGTATCCTTAGCACACACAGACAGGGCCTTCTGACCATCCCCCCCACTTCCTCTTCTACCCTAGCAGCGGGTAAGTAGATTGTGTTGCCACTTAGCAACACCAATTTACTTACGTGTGGTGCACCCCAATAAGCACATCCAAGACAAGCCGAGCGTCACTGTGTGTTCAGTTAGCAGAGAAGTTATACCTTTGAGGGGAAGACGGAAGCTTCATGCTGACTAGCTTCAGAGCTCAGCAGGGGACCTTTCTTCTCCCTGCACTTGCTGTCTCTCTCAGGAGGAGATCAGCCCTCTGGAGAATGCCATTGAAACCATGGAGCTCACCAACGAGAGGATCAGCAACTGCGTGCAGCAGCACGCCTGGGACCGGTCCCTCTCCGTGCACCCGCTCTCCATGCTGCTCAACGGCATCGTGGACCCCGCCGTCATGGGGGGCTACTCCAACTATGAGAAGGTGGGCTGGGTCCCATCCATGGCTCCCCTGGGATTTTGTGAATATGTTCCTTGCACCTCCTCTGAACATTTAAGCAAGCACTGGCTGCTCCCTGAAGGGCTGGCCGTCGAACCCCAGGCAGGGGGTCTGCAGGAGGAAGATCAGGGGGTCTGCACCTCTGACGGTGACAGGCAACTAAAACTCTCCGAGGCCATTCTACTCTGTCCCACGGGCTCGGAACTCACCCAGGTTGCCCCTGACAACAATGAACCTCTTTATGGAGATGCAGGTTAAATTCATGCAAACAGTATCCTCAACCTCATGCCTGCCATAGACAGTTGGCCCCCCAGCCAGTGCTAGTTCAAGCTGGCAAGAATCGCCAAAAAACAGACAGCCCAATAGACCACTAAGTGATCCACCTGCTACCCTTTCTCTGCTAGAAGGGACACCATGAACGAGCGGGCTCTGAGCTCAAGATGCTGTTGAAGTAACGCAGCAGGTCTTCAGAAGGCAGGGCTGTATTCTATTTAGAATGACTTCCCAGTAACTCCAGCCCACCCCCTGCTTCCTGTGCTTTAGCTGGTCCCGACCATGAGTCCCACTAGGTATCATGTCTGTTACTTCTGCGAGGAAAGAAAGCAGTGCAGGAGGAGCCCTTGCTGTAGTTTAATTTGGGCATAGGGTTTGGACACAGCACCCCTGAACACTTAGTCATGCATGCAGGATGCATTCAGTCAAATTAACAGAGGTAGGCTAAATACTTTTGGAGTCCTCGTCTTGAAACTAAAGCAAGCATTTGGAGAGGGAATCCCAGTGGAGCCGCCTAGCGAGCAGCAGGTGGAAGGAAAGAAGCTGAATGGGAAAGGTGAGCCCGTCAGGGGACTGGTGCTTTTTCTTTACTTTGCATGTGTGTCCTAAGATGAGGGTGGGCTTTGGAATGTATCTTTCCAATGGCTCACTCCTGGTTCTCCATTGGCCATGTTGTGCCCTGGTGTAAGACACTTACACCACTGTGGGCTCCAGGTGTCACGTGTGTGAAGCGAAGAAGATACCTCACAGGACTGAGTTGAGGCTTAGAAGAGATGCTCTTCGGGGGAACATTATGCAGTGTTTGTCTTGTAGTTGGGTCTTGATACGCGTGGATTCCCTCTCTCCCTCTGTCCACTGGGAGCCGAGTGGGTCACTGGAGTGTTTTCCAGCTCGGTCAGCTGCTCTCCTTCTCTCTGTTGCGTCGGCTAAAAGGAGAGGCTGAATACTGAAGGTCAGGTTCACGCATGTTAGGTTTCATGATCTCCTGAAAGGTGACTGTGCACCTGTTAGGTGTCAAGGGCAATTTCTTCTGTCACAGAAGAAGTAAAAACAAAAATAGGATTCAAGATAAAGTATTTTTATCTTGAATATTATAATGAGTTCTAATATTGCCTTAATATTATAATGTGTTCAAGTGGGTTTTTTGTTTGTTTTTTAGTTTGCTGCTAAGCTGTCTAGTACCAATGTTGATATACTTTCCCAAATATTTATTTGGGAAATGCCCCTAACTCAGAATGCCTCTAACTCAGATTCATACATACCAAGACCTGGATAATATATACTTTTCATATAAATCTTTCCAATGTAGCAGTCTTCATTAAAATGAAAAGTAAAATAAGCAAAGAAAGATATGGAAGCAAATAAATGAATACATTTCAGGACATTTACACTAATTTACACTTTTAACTACCGTATATACTTGAATATAAATCAACCCAAAATTTTCAAAATAAAATACCGGGTTGGCTTATATTTTGAGTATGTAGGTATATATTTGACCCCATTTCAAGTGGAAGAAAAACGGACTCTTTCGTCTCCCTGACATATATATCTATATCTGAGACCAGTGCCTTTACTTTTCCTAATTTGGCTTTGTTTTTGAGAAAGGACACAGCCCAACATCACCAATGCAGACTGCTTCTACGTGTAGAACTCAGTGATTAGGACACGTACAATTCTGTAAGTGGCTCCAGTCACACAAACTCTCTGGCCCCTGAGGTTCCCGTCTGGTCGTTGGAGCCCCTGTGGTCACGTTGATCCCATAGACTGGTTGGGAGATAACACAGAGCTCAAGGAAGACTTATCTACTGGCTAGGTTGCACCAGCGCTCCTCAACCAAGGGTCGCCCGCTTCATCACAGCAGCAGAATGACAGTGACGAAGTAGCAACGAAAATAATGTTATGGTTGGGGGGGGTCACCACAACATGAGGAACTGTATAAAAGGGTTGCGGCATTAGGAAGGTTGAGAGCCACTGAGCTAAACTATTGTTTTGTTATAAGAAGAAGTCAAGGAGTATTTTTTGGTTTAAGGTGTGACTATTGTCTTTGAGCTGCAGTTTTAAGGGTTCATCCTGTCTCCGTGGCTCCAGAAAGTCTGGATTCCATGAGAAATTGAAATTCTGTTCTGCAGTTTTCCCTCCTCTCCATAATCAGGATTCTTCTATAGAGTCTTTGACCAAAATGTTCAGTAATGGTAGCCATGTCTGGGTGGACTGTGTTAAAAGAGCATTTTACATGTTACACAAACACAGAAGCATATTGCTATAATTCTCTTTTGAGGCAGATTTCTACTGGAAAAAGGAGTTTGAGAACACACTGCTCTCAGCCTAACTGCTGCCTTAGGAATTTAAGTACTGTATTTATAATCTTTCAAAATCGTTTTAGGAAAACTTTTAAGGGCTTCATCTGCTTGCCTCTGGAAGGTGATGGTTGTTGTGTGCTTTTACACGTTGATTCCCACACACAGCAACAGTAGATGACGAGGCAGGTGACAAGCCCCATAGGGCCTCTAGGCTCTCTCCTCACAGGAAGCACGTTGCTAAGTGTTCTCTCTTGCTGCGGGGATGGTGGGTTCAAACACCTTGTCTTGGTTAGCTGCTGAGTGCTTAACCATTTTGTCTCTATCTTGTGTACACACACACACACACACAGCAAAACCAAACCCACTGCCATTGAGGCAATGCCAACTCATCCTGGCCCATTAGGACGGAGTATGGCTGCTCCATCCGGTTTTGGAGGCTGGAGTTTCACCGACGCGGATGGTCACATCTTTCTCCTGTGGAGGGAGTGAGTGGTCGGTGGGCTCAAACCAACGACCTTTTGGACAGCAGCCAAGTGCTTTACCACTGTGTCACCAAAGCTCCTTATCTGAAAGATTAGGAAGGATAAAGAGTTAAGCAAGTACTGTTTGTTCGTTTTGAATTTATCCCATAGTTCCCTCAAAAATGAGATGGGCTAGAGTGCACGATTTTAGGTATTTTCAGACTTCCTTTGTGCAGTAATTGGGCTACGTGTGTTTATGGTCTGTTCTTTTGTTCATGCGTTGTTTTCCACAGAAAATGGGACGTTCGCTTTTATGCACAAGTCATACTGTGTCCCATATGAAACTCTGGGGTTTCATGATGTTGTAAAACGAGAGACTGCGGGGGGAGGTGGTCTTGATAGGCACTTTCAGAAATGAAGGTTGAGGTATCAGGAGAAAATTGAACTCCTATTTTGGACTCTGGGAACTGTTTGCTACAGTCTTCTATTTTTCTTTCCGAATGGCTTCTGCCCTTAAAATGGTAAGACCTCTGTTGGGATCTTGGACTTAGATTGTATTTCCCAGAGCCCCTTCAATAGGGCCTTGGTAGGGCCAGGGGAGAGCTCTGGGTGTTTTTATCAGTGATCCTATGGGTAGCATGGTACTGACACGAGGGTAGCCAGCATTCTCACATGTAGGTCTTGTTTTTGTCTTAAAGTAGCTTTGGAGGCTAGATGTCAATAGGAAATGTATAGCTATTCATGCTCACTTTACGTAGGGGGAGAAAGTAATGCGAAGAAAGATGGTATAGCTAGTAGAGCAGGAGAAAATGAACGTCTTGTGCCCATTAATATTGTGTTTGGTCCCTTTAGAATATCTGTGCACTCAGGCCAACCAGTGACCTTTAGATACTGGTATTCAGTTCTTATTTCTCTGGGGGATTTAATAGTATGTATGCTAATGAATGCCATTCTGGTTTGTGGGTGGTTACTGTTAATAAGTGGACACCTCGAGAGAGGGGCATTATGGAGAATATGTTCTTGCTAGGCATGGCGTGATTTCACGCAAAAAAATCACAGAACAGCACATAATTGTGTTGACTTGTCCACCCAGGGATCCGGGATATTCCTGGAAAGGAATGGATACTAAGTTAGGTGTTCCTGGGGAAGAGGGAGAGCAGAAAGCTCGTCATCCTTCCTCAGCTTTCCTCCTAACTTTTAAGGGCAAAGGCATGGGTTTGCATGTGACCTAAGGCATCGCGGCCTGTGTCTTGTTTTTAGGCTTTTTTTACGGAAAAGTACTTTCAGGAGCATCCTGAAGACCAAGAGAAGGTTGAACTGCTGAAGCGACTGATAGCATTGCAGGTAGGTCGCAAGGAAGACATGTGGCTGAACAGCTTGCCCGTGCAGATGATGGGCAGCCACGAGGCATGACTGCCGGCATACCCTCTAGCATTTAATCTCCAGGATGTTTGCTGGCTTTCTCCTCTTCTTAATCCCCATCTTGTTTTGAGGAGGCTGGGTAGCAGAGCAACTCACCTAACTGCACAGGACCAAAAGGGACTTCCTTAGAGCCCCAAGAAAAGTAGGTTTTCTGGCCTGATTCCAGCTGACAGATGTTGGCCGAATTTTTCCTTCACTGCATCAGTGATCCGTGTTAGAACACGCAGCCAGCGCATTCTTTCTGAGGCTTAAACTGTCAGTTGTGGTCCCCCGGCAATGCCCCAGCACTTGGTTGGATTGGCCTTCACAGTCAGCTCTTCCCCAGCCTAGGGCCTGGCTGCTCGTGTCAATCATCGGGGTGTGCATTTCTCTGGATCAATGATCCAGGTGAGTCCCGTTCCTAAGGCCAGAACTGAGAAGTAGCCTTCTGATAGGATCGCACTCTGTCTGCCAGGTTACCTGCCCACCCCCCGGCCCCGCACTCTTCCCAGGCCTCCAAGCCTGAATGGTCCCTTTCTCTCACTCGCAATGCCTGGCTTGTGTGCGCTCCTTCCCAGATGCCTCTGCTGACAGAGGGGATCCGCATCCACGGCGAGAAGCTGACGGAGCAGCTCAAGCCCTTGCACGACCGGCTGACCTCGTGCTTCCGGGAACTCAAGGAGAAAGTGGAAAAGCTCTACGGCGTGGTCACTCTGGTCGGTGTTTTCCAAGCCGCCTTCACGCTTTCCTCCCATCTGCCTGACCTTTCTCCCCACTGGTCCATTTTTCACACAACAAGCATGTGACATCCTTCTGGCCTAGGGCTGGGCCAGCAGCGGGAGGGGATGTTCTTCTGGTGGCCAGCTGGACCCCTCACTGTCCGGGGTCACAGTGCTCACAGCACCTGGAGGGCTTGTGAAAACGTGGGCAGCCCCATCCCCCGTGTTTCCAATTCGTGGTGGTGGGGGTCCTTGTTTGGAGCTGTCAAGCCCATTCCAGCGACCCCATAGGACCTCGTAGAGCAGCACCGTCACACTTTTTGGGTTTGTTTTTGTAAGTTGTAAGCTTTGGACGTTGTTTTCATTTCTGCCATCTGCACGATGTGCTCCCTGGCATGTCGCTCGTGAAGGGCCTGGTCCCAGGAGCATTGGTCATCCGTCCACATGCTCCAGGATGGCAGAAGCTGTGCTTTGGACCTGACGAGCCCAGTCCTGCGCAGAGCCGGCCCAGTATGAGCCAGTGAGGTTGACGTGCTAGCGTGCCGGGGTCACGTTCCTGGGTCCATTTCTTGGGAAAGCATATCGGCACATCTTTTCTTCCTAGAATTCACCAATTTGAGCCTTAAGTCGACAGTGCTGGAGAATAGTGCACATCTTCGTTAGTTTGTAATCTCATATCTGACAGAAAGTTATGCATTTTTCTCTAGGATTAGGTACAAGGTTGTTGTTCAGGTGACATTGAGAAGGTTTGGCCTCAAAGCGGTTCTTGGTACCGCAGAATGAAACACTGCCTAGGCTCTCTCCGTCTTCATTTTGTTGCGGCCACTGCATCCCTCCTCTTGTCGAGGGCTTTCCTTGTGTGCACCGCCCCTCTGCTTCCCCAAGCATGATGTCCAAGAACTGGTCTCTCTGGGCAACATGGCTCACCATCCTTGCCTCTAACTAGCGCCTTCTGAAAACCTCATTCAGGACAGATTATCTTGATGGTAGTTCTTGTTAGTTGCCACCAAGTCAGCCCCCAACTGTTGGCAAACCCATGCAGCACAGG